GTAAGTCAATTCCCTGCTCTGCACCTCAGTTTCCTCATCTGCAAAGTGGGAGTATTATTCCCTACCTCACAGGGTTTCTTTGAGGATGGCCTGAGGGAGTGTATGGAAAGCCCCCAGCTGAGAGCCTTTACACAATGTATGCTCAATGCCATGGCTACACAGAGTGTGAAGGTCAAGGGGACAGGGAGAAAGGGGGTCAAGAGGTCATCAAGGGCCCTCTCCACTGTGAGGCTCTCTGCTCTTTATCCTGAGGGACAAAGATAAAGGTTTCATCAGGGGCTTGACATGTTTTAAAAATTGCTTTATTGGAAAACAATTCACATACCACACAATTAGCCCATTTAAGTGTGTGAGTCACTTGGTTTTAATGTATCTACAGAGTTGTGTAACCATTGCCACGGTCCTTTTTACAACATTTTCATCACTGTAAAAAGACACCCACAAAGAAATGAGTTATTCTTCATTTCCGCCTAAAGCTCCCAGCCCCTGTTTACTTTCTGTTTCTATAGATTTGCCTGTTCTGGACATTTCATGTCAGTGGAATCAGCAGAGTATGTGACCTTTTGTGACTGGCTTCTCGCACTTAACATGCCGTCTTAAAAGTCCGTCCATGTGGTTAGCATGCATCAGTACTTTATTCCTTTTTATGTCCAAATAATATTCTATGGTATGTGTGCACCACGTGCATTCTTAGCCTCTGGATTGGTCTGAGATGTAATCCCGTAGATGACGGGTCATCTGGACATGGGAACATTCGCTCCCTAGTCCTTCAGAGGGTACCCAGAGGGTTATCTGGAGTCTGATGTGTACGCAGGCATTGGCGCAGGCCGGGAACGCTGAGACATTTAGGTTCCCAGGCCAGTTAAAACAAGAATGGAACCATTTCCTCATTCCTCAGCCTATTGGATCTTAGTCATTTAGCAGCTTAGCTATAGTGACTCCATTTTATTTCTTCACTCTATTCTTCCACATGTTTACTGAATTGCCTTGTTCCAGGTGCCATCCTAGGTATTATACAAGTAAGCAAAACAGATACTATCCTCACCTTTGCAGAGCTTCCATTCTGGTACCCTTTAAAAGACAACCTGGGAGTCACTGCGAAGGACTGGAGGGAGGGAGGCCATCCAACAAGCAGTGATGTCAGGGGGCCTTGGAGAGGCCGAGGGGGAGAGCCTCCCTGTCGTGGGGTGAGAGCTTCCCCAGAACTATCTGAGGAGCTGGCTGAGGTGTCCCCTTCCTGCCATGGCATAACACTGGCCCTGCCTGGGTCTGGCAGAGAGGGGGTTCGGAGGCCTGGGAGGGAGCCCCAAGTGACAGCAGGGAGGGCAGCACCTGCCTGCTCCTCCTTAGGGCTCGGCCTCTCCTGAGTGTGACAGAATCATTTTCCCTGCAATTTACAGAGACATGTCAAATCCCAGTGTCCTGAAGGAGCTTCAAGGGACAGGGGATAAACCTTCATGAAGGGCCTTCGCATGCCAGACCTGTGCTGGGCACGGTCTCTGCCCTTAGGAAGCTCGAGTCCCCAACGGACGAGGGTGTCCAGTGTTACGGAGGAGGAGGGAGAGGATGCTGGGGAGCTCACCTCAAGGTCCTGAGGAGGAACTGATACTTCCTGAGCAGTGAAGGAAGAAGGCGGGGTGGGCGGGCATCCGCAGATGACAAGCTCAGAGGAGGGGAGGCAGTCCTGGGGGGCGGGACTCAAGGCCAGCGCACCTGGGGGCCATGGGAGGATGCGGTCAGGCGACGAGGGTCCTTGCTGAAGAGCAGTGGGAGGCTCTGAGAGATTTTGGCAAGATGGGGGTTTTAAAAAGATCCTTGAGAAGGAGAGTGGATTCGAGCGGAACAAGGCTTAGGAGACCTGGAGAGGTGGGTGGAGTAGAGGGCTCGATGGGACATGGAGATGGAAGATGGCTGCGGGAAGTACCAGCGCTGGTACCCAGCCCTCCTCGGCCCTGGCTTGGGTGATGGGAGGGATGAAGTGCCGTTTAGTTACCTTGACTTATTTAAAGACACGCAGATGACTAAAAAGAAATGTAAACAGTAAGTGGCAGAAGGTGTAATGAATGGTTAAGAGCGAGCCTGGAGCCTCAGGGTCTGGATGTGAGTCCTGGCTCCGAAACCCCCCAGCTCTGTGACCCCACTTGTTCAACCCTCATGAGGAGGGTCACCGAAATACTTGACCTCACGGGAGGCTGTGAAGACTGAATGAGTCAATACACACGAAGGGCTCAGAACTGTGCCTGGGACTCCATTGCCACCGTCAGCATGGGGCCCATCCTGAGACCTGGCCAGAGATCTAAAGAGAGGGTCCCAGTACCAAGGACCTTTGGGGAAACCGCCAGGGTGTGAAAGCCACTGGCTTGTAATGGAGCACTCCAGGAGCCACAGCCCTGCACGTCTCCTTTGCCCTTTGAAGATAACAGCCTGTGGTTCGGCCCATCATCTTATCATCACCGGCTCCTAGAGATAGGGCTGCGGCGGTGCCCGGGCCATGGGCCTGCTGCCACCAACACCATCCTTTTTTCAAACTCCCTACCCTGTCCATAGAAGGAAGCATCTAGGGTCCCTATGAAGTGCCTGACACAAAAAACTTCAGGACCCTATAAAAAACCCCAGATCCTCACTGGGAGACCTGAGGGTGCTGTGGAGGAGAATGTGAGTAATGCTGTGGATCTCTCTGGAAAGCTGCCCATCCCGTCAAGTTCCTGGGTGGGAAGGAATGCTCCCTGGTAAGAACCCCAAAAGGCAAAGAATGGCTCGTGTGGACCCTGCCTGCGGGAAGGATGGACTCCTGAGTGACCTGTGCGTCTGCTCCTCCTGCCCCGCTGTGCTGTGGTTGTCTCGTCTAGGAACTGTTCCCTGGTTGGCCCCCCAGGATGACGTCACAGCCCTTGACCCCTGAGCGTGCCTCCCTCTCTCCACAGCCAGTATATTAAGGCCTGCAAGACAGGCAACATGGACCAGGCCCTGTCCCTGTGGTTCCTGCTGGGCTGGATTGGTGGAGACTCCTGCAACCTCATTGGCTCTTTCCTTGCTGACCAGCTGCCCCTGCAGGTGGGTCGGCCCCGGGCAGGGTGGGCTCCTAGGTCAGCCATGGCGGAGGCATTGGGGCAGCCAGCAGGAGAACCTTCTGTTCTTCTATCTTATGATGGCCGCATGCTGTAGACAGAGCCCTGTGCCCTGCCATGCAGTGTGACAATGAACTGGTCACTGCCCTATCTGGGACCTGCATTTCCCCATCTGCAAAATGATCACATCAAACCAGAGAATTGCTGGGGTCTTTCACCTCTGAGGTGCTGTGAGCCTGACTGAGCTCTTAGGGGCTGGAGGAGGTTAGTTTTCTCTTGGGAGGCCCAGGTGCCATCATTCTCCTGTGTGTGGGCGGAGCTGGGATTCACAATCAGGCATCCGTTGTCTTCCCGAGGGGACTGTCAAGTCTTAACTGTGCCTATATCAGGCCAGACCAGCGCCCTCACCAAACCTCTGAGTCCCATGTCCTGACAAGTGGAGCTAGCCACCATGTCATCCATCGGCCCAGACCAGACACTTTACCTACCTGATCTTTAGTTCTTCCAGGTAGGAACCGTGATTCCCCCTTTCCAGGTGAGGAAACAGACACTCAGGGTCATCCGGCTGGGATGTGAGAGTGCCACCCTGGTGCTAGGATGTGGTCCTCAGAGCCTGGGACTGCAGCCATCGCCTCGGGTCCCCTGCTTTTCTTGCAGACCTACACAGCAGTGTATTACGTCTTGGCAGACCTGGTGATGCTGTCGCTGTACTTTCATTACAAGTTTAAAAAACGTCCCTCTCTGTGTGAGTATGGTGGTCCCTCCATGTCAGGCACTCTAGGGGCAGCCAGAAGCTTGGGAGGAAGCAAGTGTCCCATTGCTGGGTGACAAACCACGAAAAGGCCCTTCCTCAGGCCTTATCTGAAAGCGTGAGCCCTGGTTGGCCAAGATCGAGGCCCGAGGGCAGTGAGCACATCTGGGCAGACCACAGGGGTTTCCGTCTCTTAAGTTCCCAGTCAACAAGCATGCCTTCAGCTTCACCACTGTCCCCAGCCCTGGACTCGGGGCTGGGAAATGAGCACAGGGCACACAGGGCACTGCCCTTGTGGATTCAGAAGGGGCAATGGCCAAGGTCAGATTCAAGGCCATATGTGACATGGCCTGAGGCATTGCTTTTGATAACCCCGCTCTGGACCCCACTACCCTCATGGTGTCACGTTTACAACCCCAGGGGAAGGATCCTGCTATTACACTCATTCTACAGATGAGGAATTAAAGCTCGAGAGCTTAGGTCATTTGCTCAAGGTCACACAGCCACCGAGGGGCAAGGTCATGACTCCTGCCACTCAGATACCTAACCTCGGCTTCCCTCCTGCCTCATGTCCAGTGTCTGCCCCCATCAATTCCGTGCTCTTGTTCACCTTGGGACTGGCATGTACCACCCCGCTGCTGAGCAGAGCTGGCTCTATGGCTGCCCCAGGGGAGGTCTTCCGGGGACGGAAGCTCCTGACTGTGGAGCCAGGCAATAAGGTGAGGTGTGGGTACATGATGGTAGGGTGGGGGGTGGGGGACTCACTCGTCCCAAGGGCCCTCCCCTGCATGGCCACCTGGGCAGGGGGATGTCCCTCCAGGTGAGAGCTTGGAGCCCGCACCCAGTACCGTCAGCGCTTACTGGAGACTGAGCAACCCCTTCTGCCCTCACAGCCCTTCACTCGGCAGGAAATCATTGGTTTTGTCATCGGCTCTGTCTCCAGCTTTCTGTACCTGTTCTCCCGGCTGCCTCAGATCCACACCAACGTGAGCCCTGAGTGGGGGTGGGCGGGGCCGAGTGGGAGAGGAGCCAGCCTGGCAGCTCGCGCCTCTGGGTTAAGGAGTAGCGTGGTGTGGGCAGGCATCTTTGTGCAGATCTGGGTCCACACTCACTGCTAGCTTGGGCAACTTCATCCAATTCTCCAAGCCTCAGTTTATGCCTCTGGAAAATGCTCATAATGATGCCATGTAGGGGTCCATGTGGCCTGTGTGTGTCTCAGGGAAGTAGGAGATCAGGTAAGAGCGAGGTCTGAGAGAAGAAGGGGGGGAATCGGGTGGTGGGGAGGGGCTTGCTGGGCACTGAGTCAGTGTGAGGCTGCAGAGCAGGGCATCATGGGGCCAGCAGGCATGGTGCAGCCACTGTCTCCTGTGGACCCGGGAGAGGTGGCGGGGGTGGGGATGAGGAGTCGGGCCCTGGAAGGGGCTGGTCCATGTGCCAGGCCCATGTTGGACACTGAGCACACACTGAGAACTCAGGACTACACACACAGTGTGACGGGGCAGACGGATACGTGGACAGTCACATTCCGGAGGGACAGGAACCCTGTGTGAGATCTGACCCCACCCCTCACCTCCAGTTCCTGCGGAAGTCCACCCAGGGGATCTCCTACTCGCTGTTCGCCTTGGTGATGCTGGGGAACACGCTGTACGGGCTGAGTGTGCTGCTCAAAAACCCCGAGGTAGGCCAGAGCGAGGGCAGCTACCTGCTGCACCACCTGCCCTGGCTCGTGGGCAGCCTGGGCGTGCTGCTGCTCGACGCCATCGTATCCTTCAGGGTGTTCAAGGCAGGCGGGGCGGGGTGGGTATGGCAGCCTCCACCTGCTCATGGCTTCTACATCCATCTGTCCATCCACTTATCCATCCATCCATCCATCCCTCCATCCACCCATCACCCATCCATCCATCAACCCACCCATACACTCATCCACCTACCTACCTATCCATCCACTGACACATCACCCATCCATCCATCCGTCCATCACCCATTCATCCATCCGTCCATCACCCATCCATCCATCCATCCATCACCCATCCATCCATCCATCCATCCCTCCATCCACCCATCACCCATCCATCCATCAACCCACCCATACACTCATCCACCTACCTACCTATCCATCCACTCACACATCACCCATCCATCCATCCGTCCATCACCCATCCATCCATCCGTCCATCACCCGTCCATCCATCACCTGTCCATCTTTCCATCCATCCATCCATCCATCCAAGAGCCACACCTCTTGTCTGCCATGTATTCTGCCCGGGCCCTGGACCCAGTAGTGAGAAAGAAGAGGATGGCCTTGCCTCAGGAAGCTTACAGCTCAGCGGGGAGGCAAACTGGACACCTGTAATTATAGATAATTAATTCATTGCAGTACCACCAAGTGCCACAGAGGAAAACTTCAAGAATATGTGACCAGGGGGGCTGTCCTAGTTTAAAGGCTCAGCAGAGGCCTCCATGGGTGCCATTTAAACTGTGCCCTGAAGGAAAAGTTAGGCAAAGACAAGGGAGGGCTGTTCCAGACTCAGCCTGTGCAAAGGCCCTGAGGACAGGGGAAAAAAACAGCCTATCCAGGCCAGAGGAATGACAGCTGGGAAGTGGAGATACATATGAGTGAGAATCAGAAAAACTCGGGTTCAAATTCTGGCTCCACTCCTTCATAGCTGTGCAACACAGGGCAAACCGTTAACCTCTCTGTGCTTCTGCACCTTCAATTGCACTGTGGAGTTAAGGGTCGCTGTCTCACCAAAATAATGGGGCAATTATATAAGATAAGGTGTCCGGAATCACTGTGCGCGTGACCCAGCACAATGAGTGCTCAGTAAATGTTTGCTAAAATGACGGTTGAGGCCATATTTGGATCTCATTTGGGAGAAAATAAACATGGCCTTTGTTTGAACCTTTGCTGAGTCCCTGCTGGGTGCAGTGAGAAAAAAAATTTAAGCTCTAGTGCATTCAGATCGATCGCCCCAGCCACTTGGTGAAACTCCCAGGACGGTGTCGGGTGAGACAAAGGCGAGACCTTGGGGCTGGAGTCAAGGGGTGCTGCCTGAGGGAGAGAGACCCCAGCTGGAAGAGGAAGCTAGCTAGCTAGCTAGGGCTTGAGGTGCCGGAAAGCATTCGTTCAGAGTGGAAGGTACAGCAAGAGCAGAGGCTGGAAGGTCTCGGCTGACCCTCCCCACCTGCCGGAGGGGCTGAGAGCGAGGGAAGAAGGCAGCAGCTCTTGAAGGAGCCACGGGCCCCCAGGGGCAGGCCCAGCCCAGTCTCTGCTCAGTGAGGCCTTGACTTCGGCCCTCCAGATCTCCATCCAGTTCCTGGTGTACAGGAACAGCTCCACCTCCTCAGAGCACCAGCCACTCCTCCCAGGCTGACCAGGACCCAGGCCAAGCCCAGATGACCAGGACCTCCAGACGCCACAGCAGGAAGGGAGAAGTGTGGGCAGTCACGGTGCTGCCGACCCTGGACCAGGCCACGGAAGAAGTCAGGGTGGAGGGCCTAGAACTCCCGGCCCAGCTGCCTGCCCGCACACCTCCAAAACCTCCTGGGCTGACTCTTCCAAAACCTCCTGGGCTGACTCTTCCAGAAGCCCTGACTGACTCTTCCAGTAGCAAGACGGCCCCTGGGGCCAGCCTCCCTCCCCGCCCACCACCACCACCACCTTGGGACTCACCCCCCCAGGGTCTGAGGCGGCGCCCCCTGGGAGCCTTGAGGGAGGGGCTGCAGCTGGGACCTCGTCCTTGGCTCACCTACCTCATCCTGCTGCTCACCTGCAGCCCAGTGTACCGGGGACTGTCCTGTTGGTTGCAGCCAGTCTAGTAAATGGTACCTCCCAGCAATGCCTGATCTGTTGCTCCTTCCCAAGGTGTTGGGGGTCTGAGCTGCAGTGGGTGGGGATCTGAGCTCCACCTTCCAGGGCCCAGGTGGGGACCTAAAGGGTCCGGCTGTGGGAGAGCTGAGCAAGAGGGGACCTGGTCTGCCAGCCCGCCTCCCAGGTGCTTTTGATTTCTTCACCCTGCTTCTGTGACAGGCTCCACACCTGGTGGCGAGGACACAGCGGTGAGAATGACACTCCAACAGGGTCCCTGCACCTTGGTGCTCAGGAAGCAGCAGAATGGTTAAGGTTCAGATCTTGGTTCTGCATCTTAGCTTCTCTGTGCCTCAGTTCCCTTACCTGTGAAATGCGATGGATGACTATTACCATGTCGTATATCCTTAGAAGATGGTGTCATTACTGAGGTGAGCCCCAAAGTCTGGCATGTAGTAAGAGCTCAATAAAGGTTAGCTTTGATCCTTTTTATTTGGAGGAGACAACCAGATCGCCCCGGAGGTCAGGGGGACCTTCCTGGAGGACGCAACATGGCAGAAGGATGGGCAGATCACTGGGGGAAAGATGGGGGGGGGGCTGCAGGCTGGAGGAAAAGAAGGTGCCAGAGCAGGTGGGAAGGGGGGGCAGGGCTCAGCCCTGAGCTCTAGTTCCTGCACCCCACCTCAGTTTGTCTCCCAGACCGCATTCTGAGTTCACTTTCCTGTTGGCTATGACCCTGTGGGTGCCTGCCGACAGAGGGGCCGGCTCCCCTCTGTGCTCTAGTCCCCACACCCCCCACTTCAGGTCCCCAGGTCCCAGAAGCCATCGGGATGGGCTGGTGCCAGGTGGGGCTGAGGGCTGGTCAGGAAGAGAAACTGCCTCAGCCTTTTTAATAGAATCCCTTTCCAGCACCAGAGAAAGCAAGGAGCTAGACAATGGGGCCACAGCCTCTGCTGGGAGGGGGCACCATGGCCCATTTTGGTGCCACAAAATGTGACCTGTAGCCCTCCATGCTCCGCCCCTGCTGTGCTGGAAGCCTGGGATGGAGGTGAACCAGCTCTGGTCCCTGCTCTCAAGGAGGGGAGGCATTGCCATGCCCGGTGGGAAGGGGTGAGAACAAAGTACGAAGTGCGGTAGCAATGAGCAGTCCCCGGAGACAAGCAGGGGCGGCTTCACGGAGGGGAGGCCCTGGAGCTGACTCTTGAAGGCAAAGGGAAGGGAGTGTGCAAAGGCCTAGACATGGGAGCCTGGCTGCTCCCAAGGTGGCGTTGCTTAAGAGCTTTGGAAGCCAGGCTGACGGGAGGACAGGATTGTGGGGGCAGGGCCAGTGCAGTGACTCCACTCACAGCAGGAGGCTGGGTTTGGCTGAGGGGGGAAAGAAGGAGGGAATTGGGGCTGGGGAGACCAGGGAGGGGGCACCTGAGGTTCAGGGGGGCAGTGAGGGCAAGGAGGGCCCGTCTCCCCCAGCCCTGTCCCGGGGCATGCCTGCAGAGAAGCCCTGTGAGTAACCTGGACGCAGCTGCCGTTTACTGAGCACTCTGTGTGTGGGGGTGTGTGTGTGTGGGGGGCTGAGCTGTGCACACTCATTCCTCGTTCCTCACAACCCCTTGAGGTGGATGCAGGTATGATGGCCATTTGACAGGCGGGAAAACAGGCTTTGAGGAATTAAGCAACTTGTCCAAGGTCGCTCAGGGAGGCCTGGCAGCTGAACCACATTAGGTGGCTCAGCTATAGGGGCCATCCCACACCTCGGGGCAGGGGAGTTGGGGGACCTCAGAGTACCCTTCCTGGGTCCAGGGGCCCAGCCTCATCCTCACCCTGGGGAGCGGCCGAACCCTGCTGGGCTCAGGCTCCCTATCCACCATCCTGAGCAGCACCGTCCTCAAGCCTCTGGTCTGTCCCAGGGGATGGCGCCCGAGGACCCAGCTGACTGGCCCACGCCCGGTTCAGGCGCCTTTGCCAGCCGGCTGCCTGGCTCCGCCCAGGGCTGACGTGGCTCGATGCGAGTTACCTGGGGCCAGAATGGCAGCATGAACCCCTGACCTAGAGCTGGGTGGGGAAGAAAGATGAAACACCGCAGCCCCTGCCTGATGGGGGTGACATCACCCCCTCCTCCTGGAAATCCCCAGTCTGGTGGGGTGACGGCTCTGGCTTCTCAGGACCGCCCAGTCAGCTGAGAGCTACGGTTCCTCCTCAGGGAGCCCGCCTGATGGAGGACATGCTTGTGGCGGTTACATAGGATGGGCTTGCAGGCTCACGGGCCAGCACCTGGCACGTGGTGAGAGCCTGCTAAACAAATGGCTGCAGTAGTGAGTCCTCCCCAGGTTTCTCCCAAGAGCAGCAAGGCCAGTGTGGTGGCTTCAAACGCACTAACTGGGCCCTGCTTGCAGGCAGGTGAGGCCCCCGAGGTGAGAGGTTCCCAGGTGGATTTCCTTTCTCCCCACACACCTTGTGCTCCTTGCCACAGGCAAGGGGTGGTAGGGTCCTCATCGCTAGGTGTGGTCTAAGGGGATGAGAGCCCCTTCGATCCTTCTTCCTGCCTGAAGTGTGGGCTCAGCAGAGTTCTGCATTGAGTTTCAGGCCCAGGCTCGCGCCACTTGGCCGGCCCCACATAATGTTTTATTCATCATTTGTTTTATGGCTCTCAAATAATTTTTAAATTGTTGTAAGGGACAGGATTGGCTCTTCTGTCTCAAAAGTTTGCCCTGGTGTAGTCTATTCATTCTCTGGAGCATTCATTGAGCACTTATTCCAAACTGAAAAGTTGCACAAAAAATGTAGCAACTGTAATGAGAGTGTATGTCTATGAAACATTTTAAAAGGCACAGAAAATAACTAAGAAAATTAAAATAAAACCTTAAAACTATGGTTCCACATTTAAGTATATTTCAGGAACTTAATTTCTTTAAATTGAGTTTATGTAAAATGTATTCTCAATTTCTGTCTTTTTAAAAAGCTAATTGAGGGCCGGCCGAGTGGCGCGTTAGTTAAGAACTGGCTTGGGACGCCAGAGGGCCCCGGTTCAGATCCCACATATGAGGGCCAGTGACATTGCCCTCTACAGCTAAGATGCTGAACAACAGCTCAAC